CAAGGTGCAGATGTCCCTCAAGCAGAGACCGTGAGAAAAAATCAGCAAGCTCACTTTTGCTTTTCAACATAGCGTGACACATTGCGGCTCCCATATGCCCAGTTCAGTGGCATTTGTAGATTGTCATGTTTGATTCGATAGAAATGAACCCTCCTAAAAAAAGGACAAGTGACCTAAAAAGATAGATGGCTGCAAAGAAACAGCAAGAAAATAGCAGTGCTCCCCCCAAATCCTAGGACATGATTTCATCTGATATTTCATAAAGGAAAAACAAGGGTTGTCTGTTGAGTGCTTCCATAGAGATTTCCAAAAATGAAGTCTCTTTTCATCAAGGTAAAGGTGAAGTTTAAACAGTTGTTAAGAAAGTAACTTTTGGGGAAGGAAAACAGTATGACAGAGCATTTAGAAGTAAAGTTTAAAAGTGTCCTCACTGTTACATGATTTCATTGCTAAAAATCTTGTGCATTCCCAAAACCTTTCACATCCACTCCTCAAAAAAAAAGGTACTTTTTTAACTTGCTTAAAAATCTTCCAAATGAAGAGCTTGAGTGGGTTTAAAATCCATTTACTGAAAGTATTAAAATGCAGCATATTCCAATTTCTTTGCAAGAACAACTGATTGACACGAGAGAAGTTGGAAATTTGAAAGTCAATTTTGAACAAAACCTTTGCATAATTGGTGGATGGCATTGAACACTGAGAAATGAATGTCGTGATTTAATGAGCCGATCCCACAATGCACCTCGTCCATCTGGATCTAGGTATCTTCATGAGGCCTCCTTTTCAGCCGTGACAGCCTTTAAGACTGAATATTGAAATAAACCGAATTTAGTGCCAAACAGTCAAGTCACTGTTCCACAAAGTGTCAAACCAGGATTTTCAAAAATATGGAAACATTCGATGGTGCTGCTGTCATTGTGAGAGCAGAAAGGGATTTTTCATTATTAAATGAAATGCCATAAAAATTACTTTAAAACCTTGCTTTTATTAGATTTTCATTTCTACTTTACAGTTTATGATATACATATTTAATTTATACATATATGCATAATGTACATATTTTATAATGTATATTTTTTGTAATGTACATACTAATATATATATATATATATGCCCTGTTTATAATTTATAAAAATGAAGGCCTGCCCCTCTGCTACCCTATATATAATGTATAAAGTTCTTTGTATATAATTTATAAATAAACAGATATCAGGGGTGCCTGCTCAATATTTTTTACTGATGGGATATATGAACAATCAAATTGGAGTCTGAGGATGTCGCAGTGCCAAGGGCTCCTCCAGCTCAGGTCGAAGCATCATGTCAAAGATGTTCCTGGATTGGAACATCCTGGCCTGCAGGTGGAGTTTCAGGCAATCTCACTTTTTGGGAAGGAGCCAGAGTTACAGAAGAGTAATAACTGAGACCCACCATCTCATCGTAAAGTGGGCAGCTCCGTCGTAAAGACCAGAAAGCTCTCCTCTGGATAAGAACCTCCACTCCTCTCCTCCTCGCCCTTCCCAATAAAATGAGACTTTCCTCCTGCTCAGAGGAAATCCAGAGGCCCAGAGAGGGTAACTCTTTCCTGGATCATCACAGCAGATTGGCAATGAAGACTAAGTGTAAATTCATGCACTCAGGATTCCAGGTCCAGCCTTTTACCTGCTCTGTAATCTCTGGACCTTATGTGGGGCCTGGTTTTTAGTTACCAAAATTCTCCCAATCCTCTCTGTTGGGAAGTCCTTCCTCCTGTTAACTTTAGTTTTGCATGCTGCAAACAAAGCCTAGACTGTTCGGAAGGCTAACTGTCCAGGTCAATTCTCTCCAGTTTGAACATCCTTCATAAACCTGGCTCCCTCAGACATGGGTTACTGTAGCCCAAAGCTGTCCAATAGAAATAGGATGCATGCCACACATGTAATTCTAAATTTTCTAGTAGCCGTATAATAGGTTGAATAATGGCCACCCAAAAATATCAAGTCCAAATACCTGGAACTTTTAAATGTTACCTTACTTGGAAAAAGAATTTTTGCAGTTGTAACTGAGTCAAGGATTTTGAGATGAGATTACCCTGGATCATCCTGGTGGGCCCGAAATGCCATCACGAATATTCTTATAAGAGAGAGGCAGAAGGAGATGGCACTGACAGAGGAGGAGGCAAAGACAGGGCAGAGACTGGAGTGATACAGCCGCAAGCCCAGGAATTACAGGCCAGCCACCAAGAGGCAGAGGAAGCAAGGAACAGACTCTCCCCAAAACCCAGGCTTCTAGCTTCTAGACTGTGAGAGATTAAATTTTTGACGTTTTAATCGATCCAGTTTGTGGTCATTTGTTACAGCAGCCTCGGGGAACTAATAAAACACATTTCAAAAAGTGAAAGGAAACAGGTGAATTTGTTTCGATAATACATTTTATTCAACCAAATACCTACAAAATAATTATTATTTCAACATGTAATCAATATAAAAAATTATTGAGATTTTTTTTCATACCAAGTCTTTGAAATCTGGATTGTATCTTACACCCATAACACATCTCAATTCGGATGTGTTGCATGTGACTGATGGCTACATTATAGGATGGTGTAATAGGCCTCCAGCCTACGTAGGCCTACAGGCTAGCACCAGCCTGGGATTTAGGAGATTTATTTGCCTTTAAGTCATCCTCTCCTCTAGACTGTGCTCTTCAGGGCCAGGAACTTTGTCCATTCATCTCTGTATCCTGAACACAGGGATGCTCAATAAATGTATTTTGAAATGAATGAGTAATAGAGTTCTCTACAAGAAAAAGCCCTGTCATAAATTACATTTTGTTTGTTTGATTTTCCTTCTTCTTTCATGAGAGAAGTGGGGTATACATCAAAATATATAGGCTAGGGTAAAAAAAATCTCCTTGGAATTCCTTCCTTTGAAAGGATAACATGCCTCCATCAGCCAGAGAAATACAGTATTTTGAGGTTGGAAAGAAATGCTACACATAGGCCTGGATCTATTAAAGAAGTTGAATCAGTCATTAATAACCTTCCCAAACTGAAAGTACCATACCCAGGAGGGTCACTGGTGAATTCTACCAAAGATTTAAGGAAGAAATTATACTAATTTTTATAATCTCCTTCAGAAGATAGAAGCAGAGGGAACAGTCTCCAACTCATTGAGACTAGCATCACCCAAATAGCAAAATCAGACAAGACACTGCAAGAGAACTACAGACCAATATCTCCTATAAGCATAGATGCAAAAACATTAATAATCAACAAAATACTTAGCAAATTAAGTTCAAGAAAGTGTAAACAGGCATACAAGGCTGGTTCAACATTCAAAAATCAATGTCATCTATCACACCAACAGGCTGAAGAAGAAAAATCACATAATCATGTAGAGAGATGGAGAAAGAAATGCTGTCTCACCCCTGGGAAGGCTGATCATGTCAGTGGGAGGGAAGGAGAAGGTGGGTGGAACAGAAATGGGTGGGGGAAGAGGCAGGAGTTGGGGAGGGGTGGGTGGGCAGAGATTGTGAGGGGGCTAAGGCTAGAATCAGTGTTCCTGGGACTAGTTTAAGGTGAAGGAAGTGGCCTAATGTGAGCCAAAAAGCCAAACCTGCCAAGACCATAACCCTCAGACACAGGGTCATAAGGCTAAGCACACCCCCACCCTCTGCTCCCCAACATCTGACCCTGAAGAACTGCAGCAAAGCCCATCCTCTGTGCCAGCCCCAGGGAAGCAGCCAGGGCTGATGCCAGAACAACCATAATCCTGGGCAAGCACATCACCTCACTGTAACCTGCCCCTCCCACCACAGATACTCAGCAGCTGCCCCCCAACCCCATCCCCCAATCCTGAGCTGCAGCCTTGTGGGTAAGAGGCCACTGTGTGTGGTGCAACCTGGCTTACATCTGAATCCACCCCCACTGAGAGGCACCACTTCCTTCATTCAAAGACACAACTGTGCTCCAAGCCATGTGTACCAGGTGAGTTGCATGGAAGCCCAGAGACACCTTTTAATGCCACCATCATGAGGGCGCACCTTTTATAACTTTGCATAGCTTTGCTCTCTGGCCTCCGACCACTGGTTTGTCATGCCTCCCTGAAACCACAGGGCAGCAAAACCTTTAGGGCAAGAAGCCCTTCTACTGAGCATCACAGGGGCTCTGAGCAGCTCACCCAGCCAGCCATCCCTGAGATTAACCACTGCTGGGGTCACCAGGAGTCCCTGAGCTGGAGATGGCTGGCCTCCTCACCTCAGACCAGCCTGCCCAGACCCGCTTGGCTCTACCACCAGTGCCTTCCCCCACCGTGGCTGGATGCCCCCTCATGACATTCTGGGGCCCGGGGCACAGAACAGGGAGGGAGTTGGGGGCAGGGAGAGGGAATGCCCCAACTTCTGGTCTTCCTGCCATCACCCCAGCTAGAACTTTCACCCTGGGGCACAGACGAAGCCATACAGAGGGACAGTCTGTGAGTGAATGAATGAAGAGAAGCAAGGCCGTTAGGGACACTCAGAGCCTCCACCCCTTGGGTAAGAAACTCCATTCCCAGACTACAAAGAAGAAAAGACAAGATCTGTGCCCAGGCTTAGTTCCAATGGGCCCCTCCCGGTGCCTGCCACAATGTGACCCAGCGCAGAGAGCATAGGAGGGGGCAATCAGAAGGGTCTCCTGCCCACTGGCATCCTGCTTTCCCAAGGCCAAGGCCCTCACTCTCTGCTGGCTCTGCCAAACCAAAGTCCCTCCCCCGACGGGCACGTGGTAAGAGGAGTGCCCACAGCACACCTTGGTCCTAACAAACCCCATGTCCTCAGCATATGGTGGGGGTGGAAGGTGAAGGCAGCAAGCAGGAAGCTTGGGAGACACACACACACACCCCTGCTCCAGGCCAGGCCGCCGAGGCTTGCCCTGCCAGTGCCAGCCCCACCTGAGTTTGTCCAGACACAGGAGGGGTGGGGCCTGCAGGCTGTCAGGCCACGTGTAGGGCCCTGAGGGAAGGAGGGAGGGCCAGTGGGCGGGCTGCTCTTAAGGCAGGTCCTCTGGAGGTGAACCAGGCCTCCCCTTACACCTCACCTGGACTTGGTCGTCTTGGTTCCAGGAGCCAGAAGTGAACGCAGTAGCCAGCCTGCCCGCCCTGGACACCAGGTAGGTACCGCTATTCTCTAAAGGAGACTCAGCACCTTCTCTGACCCTAACTCATTTAACCCTTTGTCCTCAGCTTCTCCACCTCTCCTAGGGGCTTGCAGTGAAGGAGAGAAACGGGGATGAGGCTGTGCATGAGAGGGAGAGGTGGTCCAAGGACCACAGCCCCCGTAGTTCAACACTTTATGGGAATGAAATCTGTACCCTTCAGATGAGAGAACCGAGGAGGGGAAAGCCTTGCCCAAAGTCACAGAGACTTGGGAAAGGAATGGGCACTGAACCCAGGCTTCCTATCTCCCAGCCCAGAGAATGAAGCCTGGCCTTGTGCCCCCCAGCAGGGTCCTTCGAAGGCTGCCAGGAATCCAGGGGTGGAGGGCTGCAGCCGTTCCAGCTCCTACTCCACTGGGCCTGGGTGGAGGGCGTGGGGCAATCAGAAGCCACTCTTCCAGGCTGGGGGTGAAGCAGGGGCTGAGCTGTTGAGGCAAAGTGCTTTTGGGGAGACTCAGGCTTCACCCTGTGCCACCCTCTCTTCACTGACCTAGGTTTGTAGGAGGCAGAGCAAGGCAGAAGAGGATGGCAATGAAGCAGATGAGGGGATTTTCCAAGGCGGAGGGATCTCTGCCTCTGGAGCCCTTGGGAACAAAGAATGAGATTTAAGTCTGAATCTGAAAGGAGTGGGTGGGAGAAGCGTACAAAGAGAGCGGGAGCTGGCTGGAGCCCTCCCTCCCGACTATACACCCCACCCCCCCACCCCTGTGCACGCGCGCGCACACACACTCTCACTCACTCACTCATTCCTGAGCCCCAGGCACTCTCCCCTCCCCATGAAAGCAGGAAAGTAAGAGCTAAAGAATTGTGCTGGGTGGAACAGCAAAGAAAGAGTGCCCAGGAAGAAAACCCCCCACCCCTGTGCACGCGCGCGCACACACACTCTCACTCACTCACTCATTCCTGAGCCCCAGGCACTCTCCCCTCCCCATGAAAGCAGGAAAGTAAGAGCTAAAGAATTGTGCTGGGTGGAACAGCAAAGAAAGAGTGCCCAGGAAGAAAGGAGTGAGACCCAGCCACTGCCCTGGGAGGTCTGGGGGCTCAACTCAGAGGCTGTTGACCGTGAGAGGAGTTTGAAGAAGCCTGAGGGGCCGCCTGCTTGTTGCCCAATCCCTGGCGTCTCCCACTGGGTTCCAGAAGCCCAGAAGGGGCAGAGGTGAAAGCGTCACAAATGTGTAAAAGGGTGGCACAGGGCATATGAACGTGGGACTGTGGAGCCAAGACCACGTGAGTTCAAAACCCGGTCCCACCACTGGGTTCTGTGGGTCGTGTGACCTTGGTCGAATCCCTTCACCTCTCCGGATCCAGAGTAAGAGCACCCTTCTCACAAAACCATTGAGAAAATGAAATGAGTAGGCTTGAAGTGTCTGTTATTATTACATCCCCATTATGCAGATGGAACAACAAGGCCCAGAAAGGAAGGGACACTTTCCAAATCAGTAGGCAGACATCCTGAGTCCTGGTCCTGGCGGGAGACCCAGCCGGAGACCCAGCCACCATCAGGGCCCAGCTGAAAACCCGGCAGGGTGTGCTAAGGTCCTGCCCCAACAAACCCAGGCTGCTTAGAGAACGTGAGGGAAAAGCCACAGCGCCGTGTCCTCGGCTGCCCTCTGCAAGGAGTTCGAAGGTCTATTCCCTTCGACTGCCATTTATAGACATGCTTCCCAAGCTGGGATGCACCACCCCCCTCCAGGACCCAGCCAAGGAGATGTATGGAGTGGAGCCCACAGGAGTGGAGTCGTGGGAGAGAAAAGGGGCCTGGCTTTTCTCATTAGCTTATGGTGCCCCCTTGGGCAAATCCCACCTCCTGTCTGGACATCAGATATCCCTTTGTATTTGAGCTTCATATGGTATAAGAAGTGAAGAATTCAAAATCCTACAGCCTGGGTTTGAATCCCAGCTCTGCCACTTTTCTGGGTTTGCAGATTTCTTAACCACTCTGAGTCTTGGTTTCTTCATCTGTAAAATGGGCTGGTAATAGAGGTGAGAGGATTAGAAGAATTACCATGTGCAAAGCACGCAGATCAGTGCCTGATACATGGCAAGTGCTGAATAAACAGGAGCTATAATTATTATGAAGTTGTTATACTCTATATAAGCCCTTTTTTCTAAGGAATGTTTAGACTTATCCAACTGCTTTCACAAGCAGCACCTCCTTGATTCCCTACCACTTCCTGGGAGGGTACAATGCAGAAATTCTTATTCCCATCTCATAGATGAGGAAACTGAGGGTCAAAGTAACACCTTATGGAGCTGTTTGAGCTGAGATTCAATTCTGAACCTTCAGACTAGAATTCTCATTCATTTAATTTGGCCCAGGCGGGTCTCAATGCCTTTGCCAACACTGGAGGTCTGACCCTAAAGCAGGCTATGATGGAGGCATCTTAGAGAAAGGGAGAAGCAGAGCCGAGGTGTGTTGGAGGGAGCAAGCAGTGAGGCTTGGCCGGCAGTGGTAGTACAGCCAGCATGCCCCAGTTCCTTGGAGTTTTCTTGGCAGTCTCAGCCCCAGAACCTCTTCCTCCTACCCAGCACACCTGTATGAAATTAATAAATGCTACATTGAGATTAGACAACAAGAACTTTCTACAGTAAGGGAAATGAGGAAGTTGAGACATCTCTTTCCCTGATGAGCCCCTGGGGAATGAACATCATCTGATGATGTCATTCTCCAGCTCAAAACAGTTTGTGGCTTCCCATTGCCCTCGGGGCTCAGTTAGCACTACTGAGCCCAGCCTGCAAGGCTCTGTAGAGTCTGGCCAGCTTGCCTCCCCAAACACATCTTTCCTTCCATCCACCCTAGGTGACCTCCGTTTCCCAGATTCTCAATAATGCCTTGTATTTTCCCCTATCTGTCAGGCCTCTGAACACACCTGCCTCCTCGGCCTTACCTGCCTTATCCAGTTAGCTCCTTCTTCTTATCTCCCTTTTACACGCCCCTTCCTCCAAGAAGTCCTCCCTGACCTCCCCTCCAGTGCCTACAGAGTCTCCTCTGCTTCCACTAGGTCCTGGAGACAGTTTATGATTGTTCACCTGCTTACTTTGTTTCACCAACTGGCCCACATGGAATAGCACCCAAGTTCAGGGCCCCTGAAATCAGGCAGCCTGGGGTTCAGTCCTGCTCTGAAACTTGATGGTAGTATGACTGTTGGGCAAGTTACTTACCTCTCTGTGTCTATGTTCTCACATTGTAAAATGAAATAATAACATCTTTCACATAGGGTTATTAGGAGGATTTTTAAAGGCTTTATGTGTAGATACAGTGCCTGTGTATGTAGTAATTACTCAGTAAAAAACAGCTTATTTAATAACTAGACTGGGACATAGTAGATATTCAAAACTTCTATTGAAGTTATTTTATTTAGCAATCACTTGCCTAATGCTTATGTGCCAGGCACTGTTCTAAGCATGTTACAAATATTAACTCATTTCATAGAAAAGGAAACCGAGGCACAAAGAAGTTAATTAGTTTGCCTAACACACAGCTAGTAAGGGGGGGAGCCAGGATGCAAACCCAGGCAGTCTGGCTCCAGCTCCCATGCTTCTAGAGGAAAGAGTAAATATGCCTCTGCTCGGGGGGAGGGAGGCAGGGGCTGCCACTCTGAAAGTTACTCAGTCCCAACCCCTGGCCTCTTTCAGGTCCTGGGAGTTCCTGGTTGGCAAGTGACGTCTCTGGGATGTAAGTAAGGCTGGTTGCAAGTCAGAAGTAAACCGCTGGGTCACTGCCCCCACCATGTCACAGGTGATGTCCAGCCCTCTGTTGTCAAGAGGCCATCCAGTCAGCCTGGCTCCCTGTGAGGAAGCCAGGAGGGCTCTGCATCCAACACCCAGCCCCAGCCTGCCACCTCAGTGTCCTTACTATACCACAGAAGGCTGGGGAGCCCAGGCCCTGCTGGCCCCCATGCCCTGCAAAGGGCCCCCCAGTAGGCTCCCACAGGCACCCCCAGCTGGGGGCAAAGACAGCTGCCTCCTACCTGGTGAGCAGTCCTTGGGGGCCCTGGAGGAACTTGACTCCTATGTTGACTTCTCACTGGAGAGCCTCAACCAGATGATTCTGGAACTGGACCCCACCTTCCAGCTGCTCCCATCCGGGGCTGGTGGCCCCTGGGCAGAACCCACCCAGAGCACTACCTCAAGAAGAAAGAAAGAGGAGCCCGAAGCCTTGGGTAAGAACCTGGGGTGCAATACCAGGAAGGGGGCTTGGGGACTAGGCCTCAGGAGGAAGACAGACTTCCCATCAAAGCAGAGGAGCAGGTTACAATGTCCTGTTGGGAGGTGCTGTGTAGGCCTAAACAAGGTACTTAACCTCTCTGTTTTCTCTGCTATATAAACAAGGATAAATGCAAGTTTCCTCACTACCCAATTCAATTTGTTTCCTAAAGTTTTGAACAATGCCATAATATAAATAAGAGCTTGATACATGTGGACTCTCTGAACCTCACTGTTCTATGGTGTCTCTCTTTAGGTCCTAAACTGGGCCCCCTGAAATTTGTATAGGATTGCTATCTGGGCCCCTGTCCTTATTTAGAGGAGTATCTTTCTGGAGATGTCCAAGCTGGAAGTAGTGGGGCTGGAGAGACACAGAATTTAGTCTATTTAAGATGAGAACCCCATTGTGCTTAAGCAGTGGTGGCTAGTAAATGTGTAACAACTGGCTCCCTGGTTGGGTCAGGAAGAACCCTGATTTGAAGCCAATTTGTCTTCCAATTCCCATGGTGTAAATTCTCCCACCATGGCCACTTTCAAGCTACCAGCATGATGTCACTGAAGAAGGCATTGTTAAGAGATACAAAGTAGCAGGTCATTATATAGTATTTCCATCATACCAATAAAATAGATGTGAATAACTTCAAGAGTACAGATAATAGTAAAGTAATTGAGATGTGATGAACTCTGAGTACTTAGTACTTTTGTTTTTAATGTAAGTTATTTCACTGTAAGTTTATGTAATTTTTAATAATGGCTGAGTTTACAAACCAACTGGATAAAATCCCAAAAATTTAACAATCTGCTCTCACCAGTGAGTTCAAGCCAACTCCAATGTACCACTACAAACAATGGAATCTAGAAATCCCTATATCTGGCTTGAGGTTCCCAAACAAAGAGTTTCGAATGTACTCTGATGACGGTCAAGGAACAGCAGGCCCATATACAGGCTGGAGACTGAGGCCTCCAGGAGTTTAAACAATCAGCATGGATAAAGGGCTACAGTTGGACTGGAAATAGGATCCATGAGAATTTCTATTATATCACTCAATATTTCCAGGCACTGTGCTGAATACTTTATAATAGAACCTTTAACCCTTCCAATCCACCCCCATGAGAGATGAATGTTTTACCCCACTTTACAGATGAAAACACTCAAGTTGATGGACTTGGGTCAGGATCTAGTCTAGCCTAATCAACTGGAGTTGTGCAAATCTTACATAAGATTACTTCATTTCTTTGTCTCACATTCCTCATTTGTGAAATAGAGATGAGTTCTTCCCTCAAAGGGTGTTGCTGAGATTAAAAGAAATAATATTTGTTGGGGGTTTACCACCAATCCTGGCACACTATTAGTCATTATAAATGGTGGCTGTTTTTATTAAACACAGCCCAAGGTTAGGTTCAGGCTCTGGGGTGGAGGTGAGTGCGGCACCCAGGTCCTGCGGCGCCCAGATTCCTGGTCTCCCGCCTGCCTTCTGCTCCTCCCACTGAGCATTGCCTGCCAGGCCTATTAAAATAATCACCTCTATCTCTCAAGAGTCTTCCTGCTTCATAAGGCCAGTCATGGGCATATCTCTGCTGGGAAGGTGGCTTGGGCCTAATTACCATTGGCAGGAGCAAGTCCAGGGCTTTAATGTTTATGCGCCAAGGCAGGGTTTCCAGATACTTAAGGCCAAGCTAGGCTGAGACCAGACCCTGTGGAGCATCCCCATGTATGGGGTGGGGACGTTGACAACCAGACCCTCACTCCAAGGGGCTGATGGGCAGGAGTCTGTGTTCTTAGAGGCCCTGGGCACAACCTCCCACCGTGATGATGTGTCCACCCAACTTTGGGCAAAAGGGAGTGTGGGGGAGTGGCAGGCTCAGAGGGTCCTGGTAAAGATGTCTAGCTCTGCCCTAGTCCCTTCTGATGGAATTTTTTTAAATCCTCTCCTCTGACCTCTGGACATCTCTAACCTGCCTGGACACCTGTGATACCTGGGAGCTCACTGCCCCAAACCGCCAGCAGGTCGGCTCCCCTTTAGAAAGTGCTCTGCAATCACCGAGATTATCCAGTGCCTGCATGTCGCTGTGGTGGAAGGCATCTTTCCCATGGCATCCCAAGCTCCACCACCACCACCAACCACAAGTGACAGAGCTCTCACTGGCCCGTGACAGTGTGTCTAATCTCAGGCACCATGTTGAGTTTTCATCCAGCCAAATGTATCCAAATGTGCAGGACGTCCCTCCATTTACCTCTCATCCTTCCTACTTCTGGGGTATTGAAGGGAAAATGTTCTGTAATTGTGGCGGGTGTTCACTATTTCTCTTTGTCCTATCTTGGCAAAATTTAAAGTTAAACATTGGTGATCCAATGTTGATCCCTCCCCTAAATACACGTGGATAGATTTTGTAATACACAATCCTGTGAAGGAAATAATGGCAGCCTCATTTTACAAATGAGAAAAACAGAGGCTCAGGGAGTGGAAGGCCACGATCCGTGAGTGAGTAGTAAGCCAGGCCGCAAAGCCCAGTCTTACTGGCTTCACAGTCCCTGTTCTTGCCCTTCTGTCTTCCTTGGAGCTAGTTACCTGCCCTCTCGGGCTTTGCAGAATCAGTGTCTGGAGGCAGACTCCAGCCTCCTTTTCTGAGGCCCCATCTCCCCAGTGCTTGCAAACTGCCCCTTGCTTCTCTGCCTCTGCCTCTTGCTTACCTTCCTTCAGACTTAGCCTGGTTGGGGTGGGTCCCCATCACACAGGGAACATGGATCCCAAAAGCAAGCACCATATCCCTTTACTGTCTCTGCCACTGCTACCCATCTTTGGAATAGGCTCCCACATTTCATTTTCCAGCAATTTCTGCCAGGCAAGGCTGTTTGCCAATCCCAAGGGAGGGGTGTTTAATAACTAACTGTCTCTCCACCCTCACCCACATGCTCTCCCCCCACACGCCTGGCCTGCTACTGGCACCTGCATCCACCCTGCCCTGCTCAGACTTGCCCCGCGGGCAAGTTTCCTGCCTGTAAACAGTGTAAACAGTGACTGCACCCAGTTGATGGGTGGGAGCCTCCACCTCCCCCAGCCACAGCCACCTCGGGGCAGCAGGGAGCTGACTCACAGCTCCAGGACTCCATCTGCCCTTCACACCCTACTCTGCTTGCTCAGCCCCCAAGCAAGGCCTTTGGTAGGTGTTTGAATGACCCAGTGAATTGAGGGCTCAGAGCTTCACCAGCCCCAGAGACCCTCCCCAAAGCAGCCAAACACCTTCTCACAGGGCAAGGCCTTGGGAAAGAGTCCAGAGGAGCCCCTCCCCCTGGAAGAGGCCCCCCCAGACAGAGTGTAGGGGCAGGAGTCAGGCTCCTCCACCTGCTAGGTGTGCAGCATCAGACGACTCAGCCTTGCAGAACCTTGATTTCTCATCTTTTATATGGAATTAATAATATTTCCCACTTCAATAAAGTAGTGAGGGTTAAATGTGCCAACACAGGTAACATGTTTGTAATAGTGCTGGCACACAGTACTTGATAAATACCAACCTTTATGAAAAATTGTGCAATAAATGTTAGCTACACTCCCACATTTCTCTGAGCCTCAGTTTCTTCTGTGTAAGAAATGCCTGCTGGAATTGGGCATGAGGGCTGTTTGAGGCTTGAGAGGATTATAGGTATAAACACAATAAGTCCTATAAAAATAGGAGTTGTGCTTGCCAACCTTCCACAAGAATCTATCCCATTCCAAGACTTTTTCTCTTTCAGAGCCCATAATACATTGTGCCAAATATTCCCCTCTTGCCCTCAACAGTGGAACCCCCCACCTTAGTAGACCCATACTGGCCCCAAAATGCAGACAGGTAGGAGATGCTCCTCAAAGCCCACCATGGGCCAAGCTCCAGGCACCATTAATCAGTGTTGCATCATCACCACAACCTTAGGAGGCTGGTTTTAGATCCCCACTTTGCAGATGAGGAAACTGAGAATCAGAGCAATTAGGAAAGTTACCCAGTGCCTCTTGGCAGAAAAGTGGCAAACCCAGGACTCACACCCAGGTTCATCTGACAACAAAGTGAAGCTTATTTCTGCAACTCCCGGAACAGCATGCCCAGGTCAGCCAGCTAATCCCCCTCTTCTGATGTAATTCTCCACCCCCACCCTGGCTCCAACAGGCTCAGACAGAGGCAGTAACCATGAGCAGGACCAGAAGGTCCTACCTGGGGCAGGCTGGGGCAGGCAGGGCCTCCACAATCATAGTGAATAGCAGTTGGTGCATGTGCCAGAGCCCAAGGAGGTGGGAGGCTGGCAGAGGGGAGCTGAGGGTGCAGTTTCTTGGTAACTGTGCCCCAGTTGCCACCCTGGGAAGCCCTCCAGAAGGGAGCAGCTCAGGAACCCCCACCTTCTTCCACCTTTGCTGGAACAGCACCAAGGACAGCTCCCCTCCCCCAGGTCAGGAGGCCTATCCATCCTCACCATGGGGAAAAGCACAGAGCACCCCACTCCAGGGAGGAACAAGGTTTCGGAACAAGTTTCTTGGGTGCCCCCACTGAGGAACGGAAGTCACTCTAAGTGAGTCAGCAACTTGGGGCATGTTTAATAACCAATCTCTGCCACAGCTCAATAATGCAGTAAACCCTGCCCTCGGGGTGCTCCTGTTCTAACAGAGCCCTCAAACTCCAAAGTGCACCCAGAACCCCAGGGCTCTCGCTAAGATGCAGGTTCTGATTCAGCAGGCCTCTAGTGGAGCCTATGATTCTGCACATCTGACCAGCTGCCAGCTGAGCCAGAAACCACAGTAGTACAGCTCAACATACCTTGGAAATCACCTGCGGAACTGAATGAATAACCTGAGACCAGGGTCCACCCCAGAGATTCTTATCTATCTGGCATGGAGGGTAGCCTGCTGATTAGGACTTTAGAAAGCTCATCGGTGATTCTAGTGTGCAGCCAAGCCTGAGACCCCCTGGCTTCCTTGTAGGCAGACATAGAACCGGCCTTCACATGCCCTGCGTAATAGAGGCACTAGAAAGGGTGACCAGCACACTCCGTTACGCAGTTGTTTGAACAGGGACCTACACAAAGAAGAGGATTTCCCAGTTTTAAAAGACTTACTGTGTTCCAGGAGCAATGCTGTGTTGCCTACATTCATCCCGTTTCATCCTCACTGTAACACTGAAAGTGGGTATGGTCACCCAATTTGACAAGGATGGAAGCTGAGGCTGTGGGTGGTGAGTCGTTCAACTGTGCTCTTCCAGACAGTAGGAGGCAGAGCCAGATCTGAAACCCAGGTCTTCTGACTCCAAGGCCTGTCATTCCACTGCATCTCCCCCCTGCAAAGGAAGACGTCACCAAGAGGGTGACTTTGGAACAGAGCCCGGAAGGTGGAGCCGGGTGCTAATCTGAATCCACTGAGCTTCTCTCTGAGCCTCAGTTTCCTCATCTGTATAAAAGAGACAGGGCCAGATGGTCTTGAGGACACTTCCAGCATTCCCATTCTGTGAGTCAGCCCCTGGGTTTAACCAATGCTTTGCTTTTCTCCCCAAAGATATAAAGTACATCGAGGTGACCTCTACCAGATCAAGGTGCCATGATGGCCCCCAGCGCTGCTCCAGCCCGTCCGTCACCCCACCCTTGGGGTCCCCACGCAGCGGTGGCCTCCTCCTTTCCAGAGACATCCCCAGAGAGACTCGAAGCAGCAGCGAGAGCCTCATCTTCTCTGGGAGCCAGGGAAGGGGGCACCAGCGCCCACCTCCCCACTCAGCGGCCCCCTCCTCTTATCCCTCACCTTCTCCCAGCATCTCCATCCCTTGCATGGGAAGCAAGGCCTCGAGCCCCCATGGCTTGGGCTCCCCACTGGTGGCATCTCCAGGCTTGGAGAAGGAGCTGGGGGGCCTGACCCCACAGCAGGGCAGCAGGGTCTCCATACTGTCAGCCAGCCCAACATCTGATGTCAGCTACGTGTTTGGAAGGTAGGTCACTCTCACTCTAGCTTCTGACATAGCCTCCACAGCACATGCACGCACATGCACACACATACACACACACAAACAGGTCTAAAATCACAGATGGACGCCCTGCTCTGTCTGAGCAAACTCTAGGATGCACCGAAAATAAGAGTGAATATTCTCTTTTATACCATCATTTGGATCTCAAACTTTCCTCAACCATTTAAACTATGATTTAATATTGCATTAATGAGGTTCACCTGTATCCTTTCCAGCTCTTATACAACCCATCTCAAGGAAGGTGTTTTTTGTTTTTTTTTTAAACTAAGTATTTTTTTCAGCTTTATTGAGATATACTAATACACAATTTTGTATATTAGGTATATATACAAAACATTGCATACACTGAATGCGTACATTTTCATGAGTCTGAACATAGGCCTATGTCCATGATGTCATCACCGCAGCCAAGGGAGTAAACATGTCCATCACCTCCTGAAGATTTCTTGGGTCCCTTTGCCTTTTCTTTTTTTTTTTTTTTTAGGAAATTTTTAAGAATTGTTTTATTTTTTATGGCATAAATTTAAGTGATTTAGAGTAAAGATATATTATGAAACATTGTTTACAAAGCTTATTTAGATACATTCTTTTTTTTTCTTTTTATTGACAAATAAAATATACATGTTTAATGTGTACAACTTATATAGAGATATACACATGAATTATATATATACTTACACAAAGATTGTGAAATAATGACCACAGATAAGATAATTAATACATCCTTTAGCACAGCTGGTACTATTTTCCTTTATCCCTATGATTTTTTTTTTTCCCTTTCTTTATCCCTGCCCTTGTCCCCCCCTTCCCACCCATCCTCCCCAGTCCCTTTCCCTTTGGTAACTATTAGTCCATTCTTGGGTTCTGTGATTCTGCTGCTGTTTTGTTCCTTCAGTTTTTCTTTGTTCTTATACTCCACATATGAGTGAAATCATTTGGTACTTGTCTTTCTCCACCTGGCTTATTTCACTGAGCATAATACCCTCTAGCTCCATCCATGTTGTTGCAAATGGTAGGAGCTGTTTTCTTCTTATGGCTGAATAATATTCCATTGTGTATAGGTACCACATCTTCTTTATCCATTCATCTACTGATGCACATTTAGGTTGCTTCCATATCTTGGCTATTGTAAATAGTGCAGCGATAAACATAGGGGTACATCTGTCTTTTTCAACCTGGAGTGCTGCATTCTTAGGGTAAATTCCTAGAAGTGGAATTCCTGGGTCAAATGGTAAGTCTATTTTGAGCATTTTGAGGAACCTCCATACTG